TGTACAAGACCGGAGTGACGAAGTCCCTGCATAAGGCGTGCCTCCTCCTCAAGACCGACCTCCATTACAATTTTCTGAGGAGATGTGGTGTAGGGCAAATTCATCCGGCTATCGGGGGCGCGGTTCAGCATTTTGACTATCTGGTGCACGGGAATAGATGTCGAGAATGGCATCTCAATCGTCTTCACCGCATAGTATACCCCGGAACGCCTGGTGTCCTCGCAGAGCCACACTGCAGCTTGCCGGCCTCGGCCAAGCAATTGGCGGGAGAGGCGCACAGTCGGTGGGGGAATCAACTCCTGTAGATTTGCCCACGGTTTCAAAATCATCTCTCCTCCAGTGTTTATTTGACCGCATTCACCCGCATTCATCACTTCTGCCTGTTTTCCCGGTTTGTCACAAAACTGAAACGCATCCGCAATGAGGCATTCGGAGTCGGGGTATATCATTCCACATTTCCCTACCCCAGAAGCCAACACGAGGGGACTTCGATAACTTCCTTTTGACATGCATTCTGTGCCCCCTTTCTCTTCACTTCGCGCAAAAAAAGAAAACGCGTCCATATCACACGCAAACATACACCCCGTCATGTCCACTTCACCTCCAAAGAATGTTATTATTCTTCTTCTTCTTTCTAACGAGCCCCTTGTTAGGCGCTGACCTGTAAATAAAGCCTATATGTATATATCGCAAGGGCAATAAATACGTGGGTGTATGTGTGTTTATATGTGTGCGCGTATATGTATATGTATATATATATCCAGGAAATTGGGACTCGTAGATGTTCCTTTGTTTTTTTGTTTGTTTGTTTGTTTTTGTCGTTTCTTCCGTTTCTTGCGCTGTCGTGGCCAAATGTGTTGTTTTTTTTTTTTTTTGTCTGTGTGTGTGTGTACTTCACTCCGTATCGCCTTGTACGCGCCTAAGCCCCTTTCTGCGTGCGTAATGCCTCTTTTATGCCTTTCAGACCGTAATGTGTGTATGTTTGTACGTGTGTGCCTGTGGGAGAGAGGGGGGAGCGCAGTACGAGAAATCCCCTGTGGTGCACCCTTCCCAGTCACTCGCACACGACACCAGCCTCCGTTCCTCCCGTGACTGCCGCAAAAAAAAAAAAAAAAACCTGATTTTTTTTTTTTTTTCGTGTGCAGTCTCAATCGCGAACAGGCTGACACGCGTCAAACACAAACAGAAGAGAAAAAAAAAAAGAAAAGAGAAAACAAAAGCTGGTCTTCTCCTCTTTTTTTTTCCCCCCCCACCTCCTTTTTTTACTTTTGTCCTTCTTTCTTCCTTCTCTGCCCACTCCAACCCTTTTCTTTTTTTTTTTCTTTTGAACGTCGCTTCTTCACCGGGAAAAAAAAAAGAGAAAAAAAAGGAAAAAAAAAAAATAAGAGATGTCAAGGCTTCCCCCGTTGTGTGTGGATTCCCTCACGGCGCACCAGGCCGGAGCCGACGTAAAATAAAAGTAAATTAAAAGCCCCGCACACACACACACACAGAGAGAGAGAGAGGGAGAAATGAGGGGATAAAAAAAAAAAGTTTCTACAAGCAAATATTTACAGCAAAAAAAAAAAAAAAAAAAGAAGAAGCCATTAAAACATAGGCGTATAATTCAATAAGTATAAAAAATCAGCAAAAAGAAGAAAAAAAAAAAAGAAAAAAAAAAGCGACGTAAACAAAGTAAACAACAGCCACAAATACATACATACATGCAAGTACAAATCGCTATTTTTTGTTACGATTTTTTCCAGCTATTCTCACACACTCACTCTTACTCACTCTTTCTCTCTTCTTCCCTGCTACCCACCACATCCTTCACTGTGCAAAGCAGACAACATGCCAGCGACCTCAAGGACATACGGCGACTCCCAGTTGTAGCGACTCATAGAAATGCAAGGTGGCACAGGGATACATGAATACATTTATATATATATACATATACACATATATATATATGGGAATAAAGAAAAAAAAAAAAAAAAGACTAAAACAGATAAAATCCAAAATAATAAAAAAAAATCAACTGAAAGGGAACAAAACCAACAATACGTAACTGGGGAGGAAAGGAGGTGTTTTCTTGCTCTTCTTCTTTCGGTTTTTCCGTGAATTGTCTCAACACTCTCCGTTTTTTTCTTTTTTTTGTTTCTTTTGTACATATCATGTGTGAAATTATTAAAGACGCACAAGAAGAGCAAAACTCGCCCATACGTTGTGCCTTCCCCCCCCCCCCCTCCTGCTCGCCGATACTATTTGTTTTTCCAGTGTTTCACACACTCCTACTCATCCACGTCGTGACTTGCGCATGTTCGCTACCCCATTTTTCTGCCTTCTCTGGGGCAGAGATGACTCCGCCCTCTGCGTTGCTGGTGAATCCCGCCCGCCACCGGAGCTCAAAAGCGGCAGCAGGAAACTGTCGGGAGTTTGCCCACGGTCACTGTGTGGGCCCAAGCCAACCTTTGTTTGACTGCTGCCCCCTTGAAACGAAATGGGAAACATGAGTGTATCCGATAAGTCCAGTCGAATACCAATGGGACTTCGTGAACGGGAGGCGCCTTGAGACGTCCCCACATGGAGATCGGCACCGTCACGGGAGGCAAAAGAGGATTTTTTGCCGAGTTTGATTATTGATTGACATCCTGATTGTGTTGCCGCCACACGGCCAGTCCGGGAAAGCTTGGCCCGATGCGAATGGTCCTTCTTGTGCAACTGCCACTGCATCAACACCCCGGGCGCAGCGTCGGAACTATCATCGTCTTCCGTACGTGCGGAGAAAATAGAGGTTGAGGTTCTTCTCGGTGCAGGTCGGAATGCCTGACGAAATCCCGAGCCTGCGGGCGACAAGACTGCGGGAGGCGTCAGTGATGACCCCTCCACCGGAGATAATCCCTCATTTTCCTCGGTAAGAAAAAAGAAGTATCGCTCCTTTGTTCCGCCGCTCACTACATCCGGTCCCCGCTTTTTGTCCACTCCACTCAAAACCAAAGAAGCCTCAGCAGGTGAGCGTGAATCGCCCGATTGCCGCCGAGAATAATCATTGCTATTGCTGTCTCTACTGCTATCATTCTCTCGGCTATTTACCAGGAGCAAAACGGGTTCTAAAACCGCCCTGGTGGTTTTCTGTTGCTGTGCCTCCCACCTCTTTTCTTTTTTTCCTGTGGGGAATGTTTCCACGGGGCAATTCACCCTTGTATTCCTCGATGGCCGTTGCGCAAGAGATCTTGAAAGCCCAGCAAGTGACTCGACCGGCAACAATCCTCCACTTTGTCCCGAAATGCTCTCTATTGCTTCATCCGCAGTATGCCAACGTGACTCTTTCGCCATGCGCTCCAGCTCCAACCCAAAACAGCCCTTAAGACGCCTTTCCTGTCGCGTGGAGAGCCCAACCGTAATGACACCAGGCCCTAAACATCTTCCAGGCCGCGCGTACGAAGGAAGATTCCGCTCGTGTGGCAAATTCCACGACACGCTACTGGTCTGTGAAAGCTCCGCGGTGTATTGGTTAAACATGGAGCGTTGCCACTCCATACATGTGAGGGATCCTCCTCCGTTCGTCCTTCGACGCCTAGTACCCAGTTTGGGCAAATTGGAATAAGAGGCGGCCGCCTTCCAACGCATATACGACAGCTCCTCTGTGTAAAAAGCGGATTGTAGTTTCTCGTGTGCCGCAATTAAAAATGAGTGTAAGTCCTCCTGCATCGATTCACCTCCAAATTCTCCTCCGAAAAGACTGCCGCCCCACTGAGCAGAGCCCATTTGCATAGTGTTAAAATTGGCTTCATCACCAGGGCCGGTGGGATGGGTATCGGAGACGCTGCCACGTCTACTGCCTGCCATAGATACATTCCCTGCATCATCCGCAAAAGTTCCAGGGCAAACCTCCTGCTCAAGACGTCTCACGGCAATATCAACAGCAAGATCATACGCAACCAAATCAAACTCTTCAAGCTCTGATAACATTGTCGTGTGCATGGGCAAGAAGTATAGATCCTCCATTAGAATGCCCCTCTCGGAAGCTTCACTTGGGGTAGTATTCAGTAATGCCAAAAGAACCTCCTTTTCCTTCACAAGCCGTGAACGTGTCCTTTCAATGTCGGTTGTCAGTTGAACTGAGGAGGTTTTTTTTGGAAAAGTACGTTGATTTTTTTGCTGTCTCGCGTTGGTGCTCAACGATGACATGGTTTCATTACTCGAGCCTCCGAATTCAGTGATGCTGTCTCCCGAAATGCCCCCCCGAACCATCTCGCTTCTCATCATGGCCGCCTTGTACTTTACATTCAAGTTACGCAACATTGTATCGTGATCCTTCGCGTTGTGAGATGAGGTCGCGTAGGCCTCTCTTTGTCGGCGTCGTATTACGCGACCCACCTCCTGAGCAAGCCGCATCTTTAATTTCCCCCCCAGGCAACGAAGGCTCTCCTTCAGTAACATGCTTGGACACAGTTCCTGTATCCGCGCCCCACCGTACGTGGTCCAGACCGCAACGGAGCCATTCGCACTCCCGACAAACAACAAACCATTGCGTCGTGTTTTAATACACCGTACACCACCCAAATCATCGAGTGGATTTAAAAAGTCCTCCTCGCCGGCGCCCTCACCGCGGCGACGGCGAAAGGCCTCCTCAAGAAGGTGTGTTCCAGTTCCTTCCATAAACGCATTCCAGTCAACGGTGATGGCTGTGGCTTGTCCAGGGGTAGTTGTGTTCATCCACGAGGTTCCAACAAATTCCTTTTGTGTCTCTCGTTCCAAATCATACTGAAGTTGCAGTAACTTGCAACGCTCATAGCGTTCACAACGGGCACGCTCCAATGTGGCACTCGGTGACAACAAAGTCAATGGGGAATCATTCACTGAATGCACCACATGTCTGCGAAAGAGAAACTCCACCCAATTGGCACCAATGGTGCCTGGAATCACATACGAATTGTCTCGCACCATATCAAAATCAAACTCTTCCTCCACCTCGCGAAACCTGCCCGGTAAACCATCAGATGTCGGAGAATCCTGCCGCTCGGTTCCGGTCCCCACAGACCCATTCCGATAACGAATTTCCTCCACGATGCATTGCCGAATATGTCGTATATCACTTAAGGTAAGTGAGACAGCTGCGTAATGATGGCAGGTCGAAGAGGCGAAAGAAGTAAAACTTTCGCCTGCATTCGCCATTGACGGCTTCCTCATAGAGGAAAAGCCCGACATCATTGACATAATTAGTAGTGCATGGCGGAGGATCGCAGCCCCAACAAGTAATTCCGAAAGCGTCACTGTTAGAATATCAAATGGAAGATTTGCGGTCTCCGGAAACTGCCGTGCTGACATGTTTGACGATGCTGGAAAAAACAGCGGTTTACAGGCTTCAAAGATCCACGAAAGAGAACTCTTCCAAAACCTTGCCATCGCGGCGCCCTTGTCGTTTCTCACGTTGTCTGCGGGGGATGAAGTGTTTGGTTTAGCACGCAACGCAGGGGATAAAGGTGGAGAATCGGCTCCCCTCCACGACACGGAGTAACCTGTGCCGTTTGCGGCGTGTTTCAATTCTCGCCCAAGTGTCGCAGAGGAAGGTCGCTCTGTCTCAAGGTATCGCATCACGCGATCTGGT